TTGAACGTTCAACTAACCATCAGGAGAAAAACCGCACAACTGCGCAATCCATCGCCGCCCTGTAATGTGCATCCCAGATTTCTGTGAATTCATCATTGCCTCGCCTTATTACATAGTTTTACGAATCTGAATGATAACCAAACTCGGCGTTATTTATTTATAAAAAGAGACAAAACATTACTTTTAGCAAAATCATGGGCCATTACAACAAGCCGCATTATTTTGTTTCCATTATTAAAGACGCGAAACATGATTGGTTTTCGATAAAAAAAATGCACAAATACAGGGTAGTAGAACAAATATTAATTGCTTTGACATTTACTATGTGACAACATTGATGAAATCAGCTCACCCAGTCCGGAAATTATGTGAATGTGCTGCTCTGGATCAACTTGCAACAGATCACACAATCTTTCGACCAACTCCTTAGAATTTTGTGGAAAAACAGCTACGTGGTCGCCGGCAGTGTATCTGATCAACGTAAAAAAAGATCATCGTGCAATCAGAGGCTACATAATACTTTACAAATATTTCCGCAACTTACTTTATGCCAGAACCAGAAAGACTAAGCTCCAAAAGACGACACGACTGATCAGTACCTCTGAACAGTTCCTGATTGAGAGTAACGGTAGCTAAGAATGGATTTGACGATGAAAAAGGCCTAAATTGGATTAAACAGTTGACCAAAATCAAAAACCTCGTGTCCAAATCTCTCCAACATACAAGGTGGTCAGATGTAATCGAACTCCAACTACTATTATAAATCACAAATAAGGGAAGAGAAACTTCATTACTACTAATGGATGCTGCATCTTCGTTTAAAATAGTGGTTTTCATTTTAAAAAAGCGTCGTAAGACCGTGTAATGATATTGTATTTCACGAATCGAATTGCTAATAATAAATACGGTCTAGTCACATTTAGGCGGCCTTCCCCTTGATTCGCCTGACATCCAAAATTTCAAATTTGTTAAGACTATTTCTGATTCCTTAGCTGTAACTCAGCGGATCTGCAGTGCACTGACTTAAAATCTCACACTACAAATACTAGGGAAACGGGATAGTGTGCGTAAGCGTAAAAAAAGAGAAAGAGGTCCTAATCGTAAGGTAACCGGCAATTCGAGTTAGTTAACTCTTTCGCGGTACTGTCATCAAGAATATTTGCTCGGTTTACTACTTTAGACGTACCGTCTCGGTCAGAGCATGAGTTGCTAATAAACGGATACCAAAATCTCACGGTATACCTAAGAGTGCTGGTTCCGGGTAATTCAAAATTTTACGACATAAAGAAGAAAAACGGCCAACCGATTAACCTTTCCTGAAAAAAAAATGCTTTTATTAGACTGTAATCCTGCTGACTTACTTTGATAGAGTTGCCGCTTACATTAGTCCTAGGGAATTTGACCAAAAAGGCAGAAACCTTGACCGATATGTCGTGATTCGTCTTATGCTATTGCCGAGAACCAGCGACTGTGCTGAAAATGCAATTATCAGGGCTATTCGTGCTAACGATCGCCGGGGCCCTTTTGAGCTTCAACACGACGTGATCACCCATAAATCGACATAAGTAATTTACAAACTAGTGTATCACTTTATAAGACCTCAATAGTAATTTGATTCAAAGGTACTTACGGTGTGTTGTGCCTAAAAGATAGTAGCCTTTCAGGTTCTCCAGTAAACGCTCCTCCCAAACTCTCAACCTCAGGAAGAGAAGGATACACGAAAGTCAAATCCTGCACATCGGTTTTGAGGAATGCATCGATATTACATTCTGTCATATTGAATAACTGACAGATGGACCTTTGCCAGGCGCGAAAATCAGCCTCAATATTACGCGAGGCGTCTCCTAGACAAAGTGGCAGTAAGCGTGAGGCACCCAGAAGGCTCAAACGACAGTCGACTTGCTTCGCAAACTGGTTGAATTCTAGGTAGCCAGAGTCTCCCAATCCGAATACCTGAGAATTTGAGGGAACTCCAAGAACTAAGTTGAGAAGCAGGATTTAAAGATGTTCGCAATAGAATATGTTCATAAATAGCATTGTAGAACATAGCATGTTTGAAGGGTTTAAAATGATAAAATCAACCCAAAACAACATACTGCATAGCGCAAGCCAGTGAGGGGGTCGCAGTGTGCCTGAAGCCAATCATAAAAGTGGGTTGCATCGTCGGGTGGTTCGCCGTCGCCATACGTGGCCACTATAAATATGCTTAGGGTACTATTGTCACGAGACAGTGACTCCTGAAACACAATGGAGCAACAGATAGAAAGATTCAGACACAGTCGTTACAATTTAATCACACCTACTTCTCGGAAATGTTTAAGATTGTCAACGGAGACGGCGACATTTGACGCTTGGGATAAAAGGGCATCGAGACGATGTGCGTACAGCTCCGCAGTTCCAGTTTGCGTTCCGAAAAATATATGGAGATTGAGAACACTGTTTTGACTTAAGAGTTTGCGTCTGCTTACTCGAAACCAGTAGAGTAACAAAACAGCAATCATGAATGCGAAGGTTGCGTCAAGAAGTGAAATCATTCTTCGGGAACGTGATTATCAGAACACAAACCTAGGATAATTTGAAAGACGATTGAAAAAGCATGGACATCACCCTTAATATCACTTACATGGTAACCTTAATTTAATTACGACTTCATATGGTCCAAGTGGTTAGTGGTTATGACGTGCACACACGAGTTAAAGGTAATTAACACTATCAAAGTAGCGTAGTAGCACACTCATCTGCTACCCTTGTATCCTACTATAAAGCATGGCTCCTAGTACTACATTCAGGGGTCGCGACAAGCACAAAGCAAAAACAAGTACGCTGCCCGTCAAATAAATTGATCAAATACTTAGGCTGGGATGCAAATGCCTTCAAGATTTATCAAACTTAGCAACATCAAAATTTAAGAACGAATCTCGCCACAAAGCATTACTGGAAACGTGACATCCCGCAAAACCCAGAGGTGCAGTGATTTTCTCGTCGATAAAATTTCATTTACATCAAAGCAACGACAGTTCAGGCGAATAATATTACCACATTACATGTCAGCCATTTACGTACACCTAATATTCTTGATGAAAACCCGCAACCTTATTAGGAGGACAGTAAGTGGTACTTAGGCGTTATCAAACTATTAGTGTGCAAAATGTACCGATATGGGACTCAGCCACACGTATCACGTGTGGTGTGGCGTCGGATTAGGGCGCAGACATGTTGGACCACCTGGCCTCAGCCAATCCTGTGTTCCTCTGCGTTCCAATGGCGTGCAAGGAAGATAAGCAGCCAACCAGAGAAGGACACGACTGAGGAGTAGTATATAATGATCGGCGTAGCCAGCGTT